CAGAAAATTCGACAAGTTGACAACATACTTCAACCTTCCAATCGGTCATTTTGACAGCTGATTTAAACAAGACTTGTGCTAACCTAACTTCACTTTGTGTCCTGCAGCTGAATTGTCAATTAATTTTGTTATGAAAATTAGATAAAAAACCGCATAACTCGTGCCTATTATCTATTAATCATAAAAAAAGTATAGTATTTTACTCGTGGTTAATGGCTATTACTCACTCGGATGATTACACTACTCGCCTGCGGCTCGTAGTGCATCCTTCGTAAGTTATAGCCATCATTACCCGCTCGTTGAATAATAGGTATACTATTATCTACAAGCGTTTGGTTATGATGTTTTTACATAACTATTTTTCTAGTATTTGAGTTATGTCATGAGACTCATAACAGAACAGTGGTGTTATGGACTAGGTCATGAAATCATAACACAACTATTTTTGGTGATTTGATAAATGTCAAAGTTAAACCTGTGAAGGTAAAATGAAGGTAGATTGTCATGTTATGCTTGAGTCTTTATGTACAGAAAACACTAGTAATAATTTACTAAAGAAACATTTATTGGTTTTTCTTTCTACCGTTGCCTCATGTAATTTTCCAATAATAACATAACCGAATTTTCTCGTATCCGTCACCCATGACGCATTTATCTTATTATCACTGAAGGACAAATTCTCAAAAATCATACATAAATGAGCTTCTACTTCTTCATTCAGAGAGTCATTATCAGACTTATTGTTCAAAAAATTTCTTGAGAGAGCATCTGCCACTAATAAATCCTTTCCAGGTATATATTTAACTATTATGTCATATGCTTGTAATCTTAATCTTTGTAGTCTTAATGGGGTTTCATTCAAGGGTTTTCGAAAAATATTTTCCAGTGGCTTATGATCAGTTTCAACAACTATTGATTTGCCATAAACGTATTGGTGAAATTTTTCACACCCAAAAGTAATAGCCAAGGTTCTTTTTCAATTTGAGCCCATGATCTCTGACTTTCCAATAGGGCTTTGGATGCATAAGCCACTGACAAATTATTTTGCAGTGAAACTGCACCTAGTCCCAAGCTACTACTATCAACACTTAAAGTTATGGGTTTTTTAATGTTAAAATAATGTAAATCTGGGGTTTTTGTCAACATATGCTTAGTTTCCTCAAAGTCCTTTGTGTGTTTATCTTGCCAAACAAATTCAATATCATTTTTCAAAAATATTATTAGATTACTGGTCAAGTTCGAAAGATTTGGAAGAAACTTACAGACATATGTGACCATACCCAAAAAAGTTTGCATATCTTTTTTACATTTAGGAATTTCCATACTTTGTATTGAGGAAAACCACCTATTTAAAATATTATTTCTTCACCCAAATCGTTTCATACTGTAAACAACACAGATAAAGAGTAAATTAAAACCTAAGAGATTATGTGCTGTCTTTTTGTGCTGAGATTTTGATTTTGTGTATTCAGAACGTGCATTAGAGCTTTGTTGAATTTTCTAACATTTTCCTACCCTGACGAGAGAATATCCTAGCAAATTGAGAAAAATCAATCTAGAGATATTGGCTCAAAAACAACTATAGCTGAGTAGCTTCCCGTATGGGACCTCAGTACCTGCTGGGAAACGGGCTAACTAACAAAAACTCTTCAGTATTGATTATAGGTAGTGTTGATTGAATGTAGTGTGTGTAATTAAAATTTTAGCACAAGAACAGGGGCCTAGTTTCAACTTTTATTGAATTATTGACTCACAATTATTATTAAAATGACACAGTATGTTTAGATTTTTGGGGAATGTTAGATTGAGGGTTTCTCTGCCGTGCTCTTTCCCCTCATTAGTTCCAGGTCGAGAACGGTACGCTTTTCTTTGATAATAAAGAAGACGTTTCACAAATTTTTCGTTTCTTTTACATATCACAACTGCCCTTAAATTTCCCCAATATTTGCTATGTCGGGCATGTCCAGTAAGTAAAATTGAGTAAATTTCCACAACTTAGGTCCTATTTGTTTTTCATTTCATTTTTCAGAAGATTTGTTATTTAAAAGGTAATAAAAATTCTCATCGTTCAATCTTACTGAGCGAACCTGGGTATGTTATACTACAGTATAGCTTTAATCTTATTATGGTCGGGTTTCAATCCATCCTTACTAAAAATATGGCCTACATACCTTACTTCATCTAAACCAAATTTGCACTTGCTTCCATTGAATCTGACATTTGCACTTTTTGCCGTTTCCAACACTTTTGTTAGTCTGTCTTTATGCATAGCTGGATCTGAGCCACAGACTATAATATCGTCAATAAAAACTTCTACTCCATCTAGTCCATCAGAAATATTATTAAAACAGCTATGGAAGACCTCTGGTGCTGACGACAGTCCATATGGCACTCTCTGATAGCAGTATCGTCCCCATTTTCCTGCATTGAAGGTGGTTGATAACTGGCTTTTCTCATGAAGTTTAATTTGATAAAATCCTTTGTTACCATCAAACAGAAAAAATATTTGCACCTGGCATTCTGCTTGCGATTTCTTCAAATGTAGGCAGTTGAAATAGTTCTCTAACTATTTCTCTGTTGACATTCTGGGGATCCAGACAAATTATCTACCATAGAACTGACCCACTCTGTTGGTCCTGTAATTTTCTTTATTATACTCATGCGCTCCATTATATCTAACGCAATTTTTACATTTTCTTCAATATTAATGGGTATTTTTCTGGAAGCCTCTGCAACTGGTACAGCGTTTTCCTTCAATTTTATTCTGCAAATGTGCTCCAGTTCACCTACACCATGGAACAAACCATCATAAGTTTTTATCTACTTAGATAAATCATTTTGGCAATGAACCGCGTATATTTTATTCTAAATATGCAACTTTTCAATCGTTGGTAACTCTACTACACAGGGAGCATTAAAGTCAATCACTTGAACTTCAATATACTCGGTACCCTCATTTGTGAAACATTCAAGGCTAGTTTGACTAATTGAAGGAATATTGCTGCCACCATAATTCCTTTAGCTTCATTGGGCTAGGTTTTACTACTGCTTCCAGTCTTTGCAAAGTATTATCTATAATATTATTGGCCTGGGCCCCTGTATCTAGTTTAAACTGTATGTTTTGACCATTCAAGTTTAATTTACTTACGCAATAATTAAATTAAAATATTAAGTTTATATGTACTGTAATTACTAGCAAATTGCTAAATAAACTTACTTACTTACTAACAAAGAATCGGCGAAAAAGTTAGAATGTGGAATAGATTTCAATTACTCAGAGCAGCATAATCCAGTGCATAAGCATCATTTACAGATTTGACTTGAGACAGACAGTCCCTTAATTTTTTCCCAACTGCAGAGTTCAGCTATGAAGAACTTCAAACTCCAAGATGGAGGATCATCATTCTTCCAACAGAAGCTTATATTTGCACATGAAAATACATACATGAGCCGAGTATAACAAAAACTTTTGAAGCAATCAACAACAAAAGCAGGCTAAACAAACCTTGCGTTTTTCATATAATTTTCTGCTTGATGGTTACTTCCACTGATTGGTTTCCCCCAATTTCGCATATCCGCGACGACAATGGCCGAAATAGGCATACAATAATTCATACAGCATAAGCGCGCGGGTGACAAGAACGACGTGTGACATTTTGTGTGCAATCAAGGCCCAAATAACTCATTCACGATCGGGCTCGATGATGGGGTCGCGTAAGCGCGAACATTCATCACATTTTACGCTGAATTGTCGGTGTATTATTTTTGATTTATGATATCTGTCTTTTACTGCTATACAAAAATATATTATTTTGTATCAAATCTTCCAAAAGTTTGTTTCAGTTTGAAAGCGAAAAATCCAAATGACATTCTGAGGTCCGAAGGGCGCTGCTACACAATTCCGGGCCTAAACTCCATAAAAGGGCAGATAAGGTCAAACAACGGTGTCTATTGTTTGTACAACAAGGGCGCCTGCTTATTTACCGACTTTCCATGGGCCGGCTTTTTCGTTTTTTTCCGAAAAAACTGTTTCGGTTTGCCGATAACGCCTCTCGACCGCGCTAACGTAATAGATTTGATTTTATCTTTTTCAAACTCCCCGGCTTTTCTTTTTTTGTTTGTCTTTTTGGTCTGTTGTATTATTCAGCGCAGATTATCTACTAGGCTTATGAAATTTTCATTAGGTTTTTCTTTTTTTTTTTTGGAGTCTATACAAGGTTTTACAATGAACTGATCAACGGAAAACACGAAATGAAATAACAAGTAGTGGAAAGACTTTTCTCTCAATGTACACGATGTTATTGCCATTTTATAGCTAGTGCAATTTATTCTTTTACTAGGATAGCTGTGTTCTGGATTGAAGTTCAAAAAAGCTATCTTGAAGTTCAAAAAGAAGTAGAATTTTTTTGGAATATCAAGTCTTTGATCATATTTTTTCTGACTGTTTGGTGTTGCAAGTATTAGATTAGAGATGCCATTACCCATATAAACTAGGTCATTGACTAGTCCAAAATCCAATTATTTAGAATCAAGCCTAAAAATATAATTTCATTTGATTGGTAATGAAATAGTATAGAAAAAAAAATACAACATCTCAGAACACAGTCTTTGTATACGGCCACGGTAAAGTCCATTGCAATTTCTTCTGTTCGTTCAGTGTGTGCTTTGCTGATAGCGAAAGAGGGACGTCAGGGAGACGAAAACGGGGGAGCTTTGGGGATACAAAATGGCTTCCCTGGGGATAGGGTGGAATAGACCGAGGGGAGAGCGAACGTCTTATGTAGGGTCGTGAACGAGATGGATATTTCTGAACTGCGTATACTGCGGAGGGAGAAGAAAAGTAACGGGACGCTACGGGTGCATGAAGTTTGATTTTCTTTTTTTTTTTTCCTTGGAGGGAGACACGCATGTTGGCTTGCAATGAAACTGCACGAAGTTATCTTCCAAAATTTCTTTGGCGCACGAATAAGAATCCAACTATAGTCAAATATTAGACTTACCTGTCAATTATCACAGGGTCTGAGGGAGTTTCGTTTCGGTTACCACAGCTCTTCTTGTCACAGCATCGACTGAAAAAAAAAAAATACATCAATACATTATTATTATGGTTAATTGGATTGTGAAACAAATGTTGAAAAATAAAAACCTGTAAGCAAAAATATTCTTTCGTACCTACTCCATTTTCTTGTAAACAAACTGAGCGTTGGGAGGTTTTGACAAATTGTTTTATGCCTCTTAACTCGAGCGCGAAAATAAAATGAAGACGTGAAAGACGACGGCAACCGTGGCGTCGCGGCGGCAACCGTTTTTGCATCGTTCTCGCGCCAAATTGGATTTTGATCGGGTTAGAGAGGAAACTCAGTTTCTTTTTTTGAACTCTTTTGGTTAGCTTGTTTGCCTCGGAAGTGAAAAAGATTAAGTGATTTTGTATCGATTTATTTACTTATTAATAAATAAACCTTGGAAATAACTCATCCTAGCAAACGGACATGTACTGATTATTATACCCCAGCCGCCTAAGCCTTCTAGTTGGACTGTTATACGCCTTCCGGACTGTAAATTTGAACCGTAAGATTGGTTTGACCATCTTAACCACAACCGGTAGCCAGAAATAATCCGGTTAATTGTACCTACTACTACCACCTGGAACATTTTGGTATCATACTAGCTTCAGTTATACTATCTTTATCTCATTGTTAATTTACATTTTGTCCCTATTTTGTACGCCAAAGTGATCACTAAGGTATTTCAGGGACTAATTCAAAACTTGTACAACAGCAAACATAATAGACGCAAACAAGCTATTGCAAAGAAGCTACATCTAGAGAGCAGACAATCGGGGCAATTAATGACAATATAGTAGGTATTTGAAGTTAGGATATGAGAAGGGATGGATTCTGCTAAGAAAACAGAAACGTCAGCACAATCAGGGCAGATATGACAAAGTTCAACTCAAACACAGTTAGGAGAGTCATAAACTATGGACCAGAAAAACCTGTGTCAAGTCAAGACATCGGAATTTTGGTCGGATCGGGTTGCGAAAAATCTGCAAGGTGTTTTCAGAAGCTGAAGAGGTAGAGATCAAATTCAGTCCACAGAGGAGGATGTGGCGAAAGCGACTCTACAACCCAAGAGCCAAGAAAGTCCAAGATTATTCCACAGTGCTCTACATGCCAGAAAAATTGATGCCAACCGACTTCACAGTAGGTACCTCAAAAGACGTTCCTTTCTACAGCGCAAAAGCCACAATTAGGGTTTTGATCCAGGAAAAAACTTCTTTCAGGCTATTGAGATGTTTTTGGAATTAATTTCACATGATCATGAAATCATCTAAATATACCCAGACAAGTTCTCCATGTAAGGCCTCGCAAAACTAGATGCATTAAACGTAGCGGGAGCATTACACAATCCGAAAGGCATCACGTTGTTCTGGTATAACTTGTTTCCGGTATTCTGAAGGCAGTTTTCTCTCTGTCATCTTTGTGTATTCCCACTTGCCAGTATCCACTTTCAATGGACAAAAATTGCAAAAATTTAAAGACCTAACCTAAAAATTTTAATCGTCAGTAAACGATTAGTTTCGTTGTTTTTGTGCAAGAAAAAGTGGATAAAAAGAAAATGACAACATCAAACCGTTTGAGGAAACGGGGTACTCAAACTGAGAGTTCAGAGTGAGATTGTTTCTAGAGCACCATGGTGTACTAGGAGTTGTCAATCAAGAACCACCCACGAGTACACAGGTACTTGCCCAGTTCAACAAAGATGATTTGAAGGCTCGGAACTTGATTGTCGACTGTGTGGCCGACAGTGTTCTAGATATGATTAAATCAAAAACCATGGCAAAGTCAATTTTCGACACTCTGAAAGGTATTTACATGAAATTAGGTGTTGCCAGCCAGGTCCAGTTACAAAGAAAGTTACGCAACATAACATACAATGGTACATAACCACTGAAGTAGAGTTTGAACGTACTATCTCAGAATTAAAGAACGCTGGAGAAAAAATTGAACAAAGTGAAATAATTTCACAGTTATTAGCTTCGATGCCAGAGACCTACCATAGTGTTATGACGGCTCTTAATGTTCTGTTTTGTCAAACAAATAATAGTGTCACATTGGAATTTGTCAAGAGCAAGTTATTGTGTGAAGAGACAAGGCAGAATAATACAGAAGTAAAAGAGTCAAGTAGCTAAGCATTTCTGGTAAAAGGAAAACCTGAATTTGACCAGCAGAAGCGCAGGTTTCCATACAAATGTTATGGTTGCGGCAAAAGGGGCAGACTGTCCTAACAAAGGCCGAGCTAATGTGACTGAAAAAGATGAAAATGAAAAATGTTTCATCACGGTGAAGTCAGGAGAAGCTTTGTCAAGTCAGATAGAAAATGGTGATGTAGAGTTTGTATAGTAGATAGAGGAAGTCATAGGAACGATCCGGGGGGATTTCGCCACAGGACGGCCAAAGCTTCCTTACTTCTCTTTCTTTTTTTTTTTCTCTTCTACCATTTTGCCTATTTTTACCTTTACTTCAACTTTACTTGATGATGGTTATCTTACCTTCGTGGTTTTTCTTAAGGTGAAGTAAGCAGATACTTTACACATAGCTTTACTTGGATTTCATATTTGATGTCTTGGCTTATTGATATTTGGTTTTCTCTCTCTCTAACGTTCCCTATCTTTGTCTTGTTTCTCAAGCTTAGCTGATCGTCGGAAAAGTTTCCGGTGTTACTTTTCCCCCTGTCGTAGGAAAGGGGGAGTTGTGACAATTTAATTTATGCGTGCTTTTTTTTTTTCGCCAACCTATCCTGAAGATGCAGTTCTCAAAATGCCAAAGTATCTAATGAAATCTGATCTTGGTGTGTACCTGACAGAAGCCAAGCCTATAAAATACAACATTCAAGTTGCTAGAAAAGGACAGAGCATACTGGGAACAAAACAAGGAAACCTAAACATTAGAAACATATGAAGGAAAAAAAAAATTGATAAAAGATGTCATACAGTGTGAAAATCTTTCCCACAACTTGCTTGCAGTAAGAAAACTCAAAGAACTTGGATTGAAGTTAACATTTGTGAACAAATCTGTCGAAATCATGATGAATCAATATGAAACTATGAAAGAATTCTTGAGAGGAAATTTGTACAAACTATTTTTATGCTGATAAGTAAACAAGCAAATTTGACATCAAAGGAGTTAGATCAAGAATTACTACATAGGAGAATGGGTCATTCTTGGCAATTTCCCGTAGAAAGGGTGTGTGAAACATGCCTTGAAGGTGCGCAAACCAAATTACCATTCAAGTTGTTACCAGAAGAAAGAAAAGCAAATCGAATACTAGAAGCTGTATCCTCAGATGTCTGTGGTCCACTGAATCCTACATCACGCAACGGAATGAGGTATTTTGTGAGCTTTATCGATCATTTCTCACAGTTTACTGTTGTATACATGATGGCACAGAAAAGTGAGGTTACAGAGAAAATCAAGCAGTATTTGGCAGCAGCAGAAGCAAAGTTTGGTTGTAAATTGGAAAGGTCACGCTGTGACTATGGAGGACAATACATCTCAAAAGACCAAGAAATCTACAGCAAAACGGTATTGCGGAGAGATTTAACCGAACGGTATTGGACAAAGCAAGCTGTATGATCTATGACACAGGAATAGATAGGAATTTCTGGAACGAGGCTTTAAAATCAGCTGTTTACTTGATAAACAGGACTTCCACCTCAGTATTGTCAAATAACAAAACACCTGTTGAAATCTGGTACAGTGTAAAGACGAATTTAGACAAAATTCAAGTCTTTGGTTGCAATGCGTTTGCTCATGTATCTAAAGAAGATAGACAAAGAAAATTGTTTAAAAAAAAAACTTCAGTTAGGTTTGTGTTTGTGCCTGAAGAATACCTTAAATATGATGTTTTTTATAGGTTGCAACCTATTTGAGGATCGAAATTTGGTTACGATAACTGATCACAAAGTATCAAGAGTATTACGACGGCATCTTCCTGAGATAAATCGAGTCGTATTTGAAGTAAGTTCAAATATTAGTGCAATCGAAGCTCCCTTAAAATATCAGGCCGAAATTCAAAACATTCTACAAGATTTCAGTTCTATGATCACAACTGCACTAAAGGGAATTCTCATACACGAAGACTCGATTCAAAAAACGGCTTTTCTAACTCCCGATGACTATTTCGAGTTCTTAAGGATGCCATTTGGCTTAGCGAATGCCCCTGCTGTATTTCAGAGAGGCGTGAATTCGGCATTGGGCTCATTGAAAGACTCAATAGTACCTCGATGACATTTTGATTCCTAGTTCCACATATAAAGAAGGACTTAGGTACCTATTTATCGCAGCTATAAAATGTTAATGATGGGCTATACAGAGAATGGGTATAGATTGTAGGATCCTGAGAAGCAGAAAATAGTAACAGCTAGAGATGTGATCTTTGATGAAAAGAAAAAGACAGGAGAACAGTCAGAACAGAAACAAGAAATTGGACCAGAAAGAATGATCATAGATAATGACAGTCCGATAGATGAAAATGAACAGGTCATAGAAAATGAGATACAAGAACAAAAGAGTGGGGAGATGCTGAGGAAATCCCAGAGATAGAAAATTACACTCCGATTAGAGAAAGAAGACAAATCAGAAGACCTCAAAGGTTGGATGATTATGAACTTTATGGTGACTAAGATGAAAGTTTAATGGCAGCTTCATTCATTGAAAATCTGGACAGCGACATACCCCAAACTTACTTCTAAGCTATATCAAGAGGAAAAGGATGGATACAAGCCATAGATCCAGAATTAAGTGCATTGAGTGAGAATTGAGAAATTATTCCATGTCCAAAAGGTATCAATGTGATCGATTCGTAGTGGGTTTTTTTGCAAAAAGGAAGATAGTGACAGTAAACTTGTTGAAAAAGCGCGATTAGTGGCACGTGGTTTTAAACAATCTAAATCCAGTGAGCAAAACTTTGAAGTATATTCCTCGGTAGCGCGTATGCTAGCTATTAGAATGTTTTCAGTCGAAAAACACCACTTGATTAACCAGCTTGACGTAAAGTGCGCTTTTCTAAACGGTGATTTGCCACAAAGGGTGTACCATCGTCACCAAAAGTAACTGGGACAGCATCCCATTAGCTCTTGTCCTATTATATGAATTTTATTGTTAAATATTTGTCAAACTATGAATTAAATGCATTGAAATAAATGACAGTGGAATTATTCGAGAAGATTATCAAGCATTATTTGTGTCCCAGATACTTTTGACGATGGTACATGGAAATAGTACTGTCACGGCTCTGGATTTCTAAAGTTAAAGTCCTTACAAACCAAAACTTAAAGTTTTTTGATATGATCACGAATATTCCATTGAAACTATTCAACCCAGTCAAACCAAGAATGTTAATATCTCAGTAGACTCTACCCTCTACCAACTTCTTTAAAATTCAACAAAACTATTCAATTATTTATACCAATAAGGCCCGGTCTAATCCACCCTCAGTTCGGCTCGGTCCGTCCAATCTTCCACCCTTAAATATCTTAATTTGCCCTTCGCTCAGATGATGTATGTGCTGTTATCTTTTCCTTGGTTTTGTTTCAAATTTTTTGCCTTGTTACTTTTATTATGTTATTAAATAAATATATTGAAATTTACCTGCACATGATTTCATGGGTGAGCAATACTCGGCACATTTCGGGATTTTTGTCTTGTCCTTCGTAGATAATAGCCTGAAACAAACAAAAATTATGTTAGGTGCCTACTATTTACTTCACTGTATTGTCTGTATTCTATTTGCATGTTCCTCAATGGAAACAAATAATCTAATTTTGTACTACGTGATCTAATAATTATTTTAGCTAGAAAATTAGTGGATACAAAGGAAAATAAGTTGACACATGCATCTTTGCATGTTTGCGCCCAGATACCTATCTTTCCTTTTTTTAATTAGTAAATGGACATACTGGGCATACCGATAATTAGCTTTAGAGAAGGATAGCTAAAATGCCAAGGGGTTTATTGTACAGGGTGTTTTTTTATATATTGACACCCCATCTACAGCCTTTATCTTTACAGGTAGATGAAAGGTGTAAATACAAAAGTTTACGTACAGTTTTGGCTAAATTTTTAGAATCCACGGTAAGAAACAAAAATTGAATGTCAGAAATGTGAAATATTGCATGCTTTCAGCTATGCTATATTTGGTTCTATATTCTTGAAGAGCACAAGTTCCCGATTCCAAAACTATATAGTTTGCCTATATTCGGTTGAGCCGTCTCCAAAATATTTGGTTCTAAAAATTTTAAAAATACTATCAGAGAAACCAAGTACCTCAAATTTTACCTGCAGCTTTCACCTATACAGGTAGAATGGTTCACAAAATCAGTAGTAGAATAGTATTTTTACAATTTTTGGAGCCGAATGTATGAGAGATTGCTCAATCAAATATAGATCGGGGCATTGTGCTCTTCAAGAATATAGAATGAAATATAGAGCATCCCATTTGAAAAAAGCTGGAAACATGCAAAATTTCACATTTCTGACATTCAAATTTTGTTTCTGTCCATGGTTTCTAAAAATTCAGCCAAAACTGTACAACTTTTGTATTTACACCTTTCTTCTACCTGTAAAGTTAAAGGCTGAAGGTGGGGTGTCAATTTATAAAAAAAAAAACACCCTATACAAATAAGTGGATTATTGCGGAATTTATGGGTGGACGAGCGCAGCGAGTTCCGCAGCCATCTTCTCATCAATATACTGTTGAACTGTCCAAGTAAGACATTCACCTGAAACGTGTAGTTTTTAAACTAATGAGAATAATAATAAATAAAGTGAAAAATCATAATCTTACAAATTTTGACTTTACATAATAAGTTATTGTTCAAGTACAAATAAGTGGATTGTTGCGAAACTTATGGGTGGACCTCTGCGGGACGAGCGCAGCGAGTTCCGCAGCCATCTACTCATCAATATACTGTTGAACTGTTCAAGTAAGACATTCACCTGATACGTGTAGTTTTTAAACTAATGAGAATAATTCACATTTGAGTGAGTCAGGTTAGTATCGTTATTAAACAACATATTGATGAATAGATGGCTGCGGAACTCGCTGCGCTCGTCCCGCAGAGGTCCACCCATAAGTTCTGCAACAATTCACTCATTTGTACTTGAATAACTTGTCACATGATGTTACTAGTTTGGTAAAGTAACATTACTTATTCCTGTTGGAAGGCAAATTGACAAGAAGTGAATAATCATAATCTTACAAATTCTGACTTTAAAATATAATAAGTTGTTGTTCAAGTATAGGGTGTTTTCTTATATATTGACACCCCGCCTACAGCCTACAGCTTTAGCTATACGAGGAGGAAAAAAACTTCAAATATGAAAGTTGTAGGGTTTTATGTCTATTATTTTTTGCGAATGTCAAAACGGGCAAATAACAGGTGCCAACTGTCACAATGACGAACACGTGAATTTTTCGCTGTATATTTTTGGCTAGAACGATAGCTTTTTGCATTGTGCAAGCCTCATCATTCATATATGAGAAACCAGGACAGATCAAATTAAGGGTAATGTAAATACATTTTTAAACTTGACTAAGGTAAAAACAGCTGAACCAAATATCAGCATATTACTCCAGTATAACTAAGTTCCTAGTAATGGGGAACCGAGAACAAATTATAATAAAGCAGCGACTACCTGAAAGAGGTAGTACTAGCAGTCCTTTCTAACATACTAAAAGTCCCCGGATTTACCTTTGACCAAAAGGCATCAAAATTGGTCTTGAAAATCTTGTTATATCTTAAAAACTATCACAGATATGGAGAAATATGAAGAGAGTGAAATTGAAGGGCATAGAAAATTACTTTATATATATTTATTTCCAGCCTTCTATCTGTGATGGTATTGAAGATAAAACAGTCTTTATTTTTTAGAAATAGTGAAAATTTACAACCAAAAAGTTGGTGATAGTGCTGCTAAACTGTTGGAAGTTTTGTAGAAATGGAGGAAGATAAACTAACGATTTCCAAAATATAGAGAGAACATCATTCCCATGATGCGTCTATCAAATCAAATATTGAATTATCAAGTGATAATCGAATAGCTAATTTTCTAGGCGTAGAAATATATGTGACTATAAAATTCCTATAACGTTTATTAGTACATTTAACAATAATATCATTTCCAGCAGTTAGTTAAAGCAACGGAAAATTTGTCAGTTTTCTCAGATTTCCATTCTTAAACGATTATAGTAGGCCTACATTCCTAAACACCTGATTTGTTTACAGTGGAAAAATTTGAGCGGTTTTATGTATTAAATTTGGATCCTACCTATTGCTCTCTTTGGTTAATTTTGATTAATGTTCACTTAAACAATGTTAGTACATAGCAAAACTTTGTACCTACTTGGTTGGTGGTACATGCAAAATAATCAAGGCGAAATTTTAGGTGAGTAAGATTATTCAAATTATTACTAAAAATGAAGTAATTTTTTTGTGGACTTCGCGTTTCTTTAATTGAAAATAGTGAAGCACATAAACTACTTTACAGTACCACCAAGTCAATTCATTTCAATTTCAATATTTAAGTGAGGTTACGATATGACGGCCTATCTTTAAAATATAGGTTGCCTGATCACAGTTGGGTCTACGATGTTCCCAGTTGTATATTTTTTTATATGCTTCAATATAGCAATTTTTAGAATTATATGTTAATTTTTCAATTTTCTCAAAGGGCTATCTCATACACCGTAAAGGAGAAAAATATAATAACAGCTTTATTTCATGTGTTTTTTTATGCTCTTGAACTTTGCTCTCTTCATATTTTTTGATATCTGAAGTACTTTTAGAGTTATAGCACGATTTAAACAAAAACCGCCGATTTTCAAGATGGCGGACCAGTTTTGATGGCTTTTGGTCAAACAGACTTTCGGGGACTTTTAGTGTGTTAATAAGGTCAACAAATACTACTTTATTTAGGTGGTCCCAGCTTTATTATAATTTGTTCCACATAAAAGTTTAGTTGTACTGGGGTTGGTATATTTGAAATCAGAAAGAAAAAATCTATCATTCTAGCCAAAAATATACAGGGTGATACATTTAAAAATGCAAGTGTTTGTCATTTGCCCGTTTTGACATTCGCAAAAGATAATAGACATAGAACCCTACAACTTCCATATATAAAGGTTTCATCCACCTCGTATAGTTAAAGCTGTAGGTAGGGGTCAAAATATAAGGAAACACCCTGTACAAATTTTGTATTTACACCTTTCTTCTACTTGTAAAGATAAAGGTTGTAGGTGGAGTGTCAATATATAAAAAAACACCCTGTGAAAAATCACCCTTATTATATATAATAAGGGTGATTTTTCAAAATGTAAATTTGTTAAATTCGGATGTTAATTTATTCAAAATCATTATGGAAAATTAATTTTCACTCTAAATTGAATATTCAATAATATATTTTAATGTGACAATATTTGCAAACTAAATGCAAATAATTTAAATTATAAAATGTTATAAATACCTATTCTGATGTCAGTTTAAATAACATTTATTTAATAATGGAGTTTTTGCAAAAATGCCGTTATAAACCGCACACAAGTATACATGTAGAACTTTAGTTACCTATTATTATTAATTGTTTGTTAAAATGATACATTTTTAAATATTAAACCATTTTGTAAATATTTGATTAAATGTTTCAACCTGTTTGGTAAGCCAATAAACAAAGATTTATTTTAACGTACCAAAGGCAAAATCTCCCCATTATCCCAAACGTAATACGCTTTATTTTTGAAAGTAATTAAAATTCGCCATATATGAAATAAACGTCACATTTCAGAAAAATTGAAATGTAATAGTCGCAAATATAAATTAAATATTAATTTTATGCATATATTTGGATCGCGTTACTGATGCCTTAATATAATTTTATGTTCGTTATTATGCATTATGTTAAATAGCTGCATTAATAATGTCAATCAAATTATATTTTGTATAGTCAAATTTATATAAAAATCGAATATCGAAAAAAAAATACACTTATTCCACACATGTTGCTTTCTTGCTTACACCGTCCCAATAATCCCAACAAAACCCAACATAACAGAGGGAGGACGCTTCCTACATATTCAATTAAACAAAAATCTATCAACTGTTCTAAAGCTAAGTAGCCTAATCTCCCCAACGTATAGCCCCGACTTGGGGGCCACAAATCCCATGGCTAAAAAGGGATTTGCCCCCGCCAATGGGGTAATTATGCTTGTTTTTGAACACTAGTAGAGGATAGTTACTTGCGTATAGCAGTGCGGTGAAGTCAAGTCAGGTGCAGTGGGATTTAGTGGCTATAGAGGATATTTTTTTTGAAGGATGATAAATTGGAAAAGATATTGCATAATTTTTTGTTGATTTTATTAAATGCAAAAACTAATAGACCATTTACATGCAAACCAAAATACATATAATATAGAAGCAGGTAATTTTATGTCCCCATCAGTTTTATTAAAAAGAGTCGTTGGTCGTTAATATTTCGATCCTATATCCGTCCCCCGATGCCACATAATCAACTTTCCTTCCTTTAAGTCCTTGAAAAATATCGCTAAATTCCTGTGGGTCCACTCATTTTACCAGAAAATGACTGGGGCCCCACGAGGACCGGAGTCCTGAAGGAAGGCGGGTGCTCCGTTGGGGCATTAGGTAACACCCAGAAGAATTGTAACATGCAT